AAGGTCACATAGCAACAACTGCTTGAGTTCCAGCATGAGCACTATGGAATTTTACTGAGGTGGCCTGAGGGATGTGCCCTAGGTCAATTGCACCCAAATCATCTCACTGTGGCAGATGCCATCAAGCACTGCAAGAAGGTTGCTATGTGCATCAGCAGGAGCTTTAGCTTGGGACCAAGCAGCAGCAGGCAGAATTCATCTCAAGTGCCAGCTCAACCCCCCCTGCCCTCAGGGCAACTGGTCGAATCAGCCTAGCAAATGCAGCAGTATCTTTTTTAGTTTGCTTCTGTCTTCAGAATGCACATAGTTAGGAAAAGTGACAAATATTTACAGTCTCTTCGACTCAGGTGCAAGCATATCTTTAGGAAAAAAAATAAAATTGAACAAAATCAAAGCAAAAAGTCCCAGCAAGCTTCCCAAAATAGGTCAGACGCTTCCAGTGCTTTTTGTCTTCTTCGATCTGTAACAACCATTGCCTCTGGAAATCCGTTTGCACTTATTGGTCTTTGTGAGCACCCCCAGTCAGCACAGCAGAAATAAAGAGTTGCTGTTGATTCTCCCTGCTCAAATCTGCACTCATACACTGCACCCCGCTCTCCTTTTGAGGGGCTTTTACTTACTGTGCTGGGCAGTGGGATGCTGCACCTAAAATTAGACCTAGGCAAGAACAGACAGGTGGGGAGGTCTCTGTCAGAGTGGGTCAGGCAAAGAGTTGAGACCCATGTGCCCCAACTAGTCAGTGACTGACATACGCTTCGCACCAAGCTGACACCAGTACAAGCCAAGACCCTGCAGCTGCCAAGGGGAGCCCCAGCCGTACCCCATGGAGCAGCTCCACGGCAGCCCCCCCTCCTTCCCTGCATGCCTTACTGCGGCCCTGCTGGAGCCAGGCAGCAGGCACAGATTATAGAAGGTTGCTCCAGGATGACTGTCCTCTCGCCTCAGCGCCACAGCAGCTGAGTGATGGATGCACTGGAAAATGTTTTTCATTGCCTCCCTCATTAGGTGGTCGAGTGCTCTGCAGAAGACATCACTGATCCTATGCTGCTCTAGGCTGCTGGAGTTAAACATAAAGACATAGAAAAAGGACTGTTCAGTATATGGCAACATAAGCACATCTTACTGCAAAATAGGACCCTGGCTTAAGCTGCGCTTGGGAATTCAGGGGAAAGAAAAAGCAGAAAGCAAAGATTTACAAGACTAGCAACATAGACACACCATTTTCATTTCAGAGAAGCCTCTACACCAACTTATATCTGAAGGAGGCGGCTCAGGTTAGGCTATGTTTATGTCGTAAGAGCTTCTATTATCTCAATTATTATACTGTTTAAGTGCATAACAACTCATTAATTGATTTGTAGCACTCCTTGAAGTGGAAAAATATTATCCTCTTTTTGCCAATGTGAAACTGAGGTCTAGAGAGCTTAAGGGCCAGAGTCTTATGCATATGAAAGTGCCCAGCTTTCACTGAAGGTGAAGGAAGTCATGCACCTAAATATTTTGAGGATTTTTAGTTACCAACATAAATTGGTGGGGCAGTTAGGAATCTCAAGTCTCAGGCTAACGAATCTACTAATTTTATATAATTCAAAGTGCCCTGTCCTTGTAAAAATCATAGTATTTTTTTCTTTTTCACCTTAATTCAAATATCTCAACATAATCTCTACTCTTGGTCAGACACCTCTACTGTCTGTTCTGACCCACAGGTGATGCACTGGTTATTAAAGAGTCATGGGCTGTTTTTTCCTTTTTTTCAAAAGCTTCCTTCCCAGACAGGCAAGCCCAAGAGTTTGTTTTGTTGTTGTTATTGTTGTTTGTTTGTTTCTAATACTTTCCCTTTGTTTTACCTGTGGTTGTTAATACAGGTTTCTGGAAATTTACTGAGGAAAAGTCTTGGAGCACCATCAATGACAAACAGCCTTACAGATTGCATCTTCTTCTGTTTAAGTGCTGTTCAGCACAGCACAAAGCACTGAGTCCTTTCTCACTTGCATGCTCTGAGATATCTGAAAATACTGGTCTCAAGTGCGGGATGGAAAGTGAGTAAGACTCTCTGAGGCCATTCTTAAGTTTATGGAAGTCTTTGCCATAATATTACAGAATGTTGTACGCCTCCCTATAGGTAGCAAGAAGTTAAAATCCCTCTAATGCTATTGGCTTCTTTGTGAAGTAGCAATTTTTCAATTACACATAATTAATAGTAATTACCCTTTATCTTCAGAGACCAGAACAAAGAATAATTAATCCATCTTAACATCCCCATTAAGGAAGTATTAAATATGGGGTTTTTTTTTACACAGCAGATTACATAGTAACTTATGTGGTCTACTGTTCAATCTGTGTTCCCTAACGCAGAAAGGAAAGAGAAAAGAGAATCCTGAACTATCTGAACTAATATTCTAATTTTTGCCATAATTCAATTAACTAGTTTGGAAACAGCTGTTTGCTACTTGCAGCAGCTTGCTGCAATTGAAAAGTGTGCTGCCTACAGATCTCATATATAGAAGCAGTTTTACTATATTTGATAATTAACAACATTCAAGTGGACATTTTACTAATTTTTAACATGTATCTATGAGTAAAGTATTTGCAATTATTCCCATTGCAGAGCTGGAGAAAATGAAGCCTGGAAGTTTAGGGCCAGCTTCTCACTTGGCAGAAAGCTTTTTTGCACTGCCTTTCTCTCACACTGTTTTTTGCTGCACAAGAAGATAAGACTCCTGATTCTGTAGTCATTCTAGACAGCACGAGACAAACTCATAAGACACTTTGGCGTCAGTCTTCCAAAGTGGCTTCCAATTCTTGATATCTTGATGGAAGCTCACCTTACAAAACTTGGGATGTGTCTCAGAACACAAAGTCACTATTAATCTGAACGGAAATTTCCTGTTCTTGACTATTAAAAAAAAAATCAAAGAAACATGAATTTACTATTTTGATCTTCAAGTGAGTAGTGCAAGATCACACTGCAAGCCACCTAAAGAGGTAGAAACAGAATTTGCTTCAAACACACGGTTTTGCAAGACAAATATCCTATGTGGCAGGATGACAGCAAAGATGAGGGCAGTGCTGCAGGCAGCAAGCATGGCAGCTCTGGCAGACAGACCAGCAGTCTCTGGCCCGTGACGGCCTGGGTGCCCAGAAAGCTTATGATTAGCGATTACATGTTAAGGTGATAAAAAAGGATAGCTTCTATTCCTACATATATTGATCTGAGGGATCTCAAGCTCAAAAAGAGGGGAGTAGAGAGACACAGAAAATGGAGGAGTAAAAAGGAAGGGACCGAAGGGAAAAGGAGAACGTCCCAAATGTTAAATGAAAGCATCCGCATGAAAGGCTCCAGGCCAACACACTCAGAGAGTGCGCTCTTCTGTCTCAGTGACCTTGTGAAGATGAACTAAACAAAAAGCTTCAGGCAACATCAGACAGAGGATTTAAGAAGCAGTTTTAATTTTAGCCAGATTGTTTTGTATTTTCAACTGCAGGGTTATCTGGGGATGCAATGTGCATACAGTGGAACAAAATGTAGTTGTCACCTCCAACTCTGATACCACACCTGATGGGAAATTCAGTTCAGTGTTTCCAGGGGGGAGCAAAAAACCATGGTTTTGGCTACACAGGGAAGATCAAATTGTGGTATCACAAGGATGCATCACCAGTGTAGTATCACCAGTGCATTCTAATTTTACTCCAGAATGTAATTACTTGGTTACCTTATGCATGAGGAACATACAAGACTTATACTCAAATGCAATATGCACTAATACGTTGGTTCCTTCTACTCACATTATGTCCTTGCTCTGCACCTCCAGATTGACAGCTATTTACTATGAACAAATTGATTAATCCCCCTGTACCTCAGTTTCCTCATCTATAAAATGGAAACATCCTACCTAAAAAGAGTGCAAGCACTCACTAACTGATATAGGCTTTTTCAGCAAACACATTTGCTGGTAATTTTAATTATAGCAAATACATACAAACTCTAAGAGCTGGCTGCATACAATAAAACATATGCATTAATCACGATGTCTATTGCAGCTTATTAGCACAGTTAATTCTAGACAATACAAACATGATCTAGCCCGCAATTTGGAGATTATGAATGCCATATAAATCCAAAATGAGGGTCTAGATCTCCAAGCCTGTCAAGCCTAGTAAGATGTCAAATTGTGAACTAAAATGGTAATAAAACCACCTGGACTGACTGGGAATAACCCCTCCACATGCACGCTACCACACATAACAAACACAAGCTGGGAAAATGAGGCCTTGGTATTCTTCCTGCACCTCCCTAGCATCACCACTGCATTGGACAATCACTGATGAACATTTACGCTCATAAAGAATCTTCTACCCAAGGTTCTCATACTGCTTTACAAATTGTCTGTAATGTGTACAGACTGCACGTTACTTCTGCCTGTCCTTGTATACTCTGTCCTTCGTGACTTCTATTTGATAAGCTATCCCGAGGCCACATTGCCTTTCCAAGTCTGTGGGAGAGACATCCATCCTCTCTCTTGGCAGGACTCTTGACCCACCTTTCAATTTAAATAGCATTTTCGGAAGTCTCCTCTCTCAGATCTTTTCTTAGGAGGCAGTTCTTTCCCACCTTGACTGTATAACTCACCATCAGTTGTGACAGCTTCTTGAATCACTGACGCCAGAATCAATATAGCAAAGCTGGCAGAGGATGGAAGTGAGGAGGTGGGAAAACAAATGTGAAGATGTTGTAACCTTTTAGTCCTGTGCTGTCAGCTCAGCACACCATGACGCCTGACTGGACTCACACAGCTTGTACTAACACAGGCAGCGACTGTACAGGGAGCTGTGGTGGCTCAGGGCCGCTCTGTGCATCCTCCAAACCAACAACAGGGAACTAAAGGCAATATCCTATGTGAAATGAAGCAAGACAAGGCTCTCTCACAACACTGCTCTCTCTTTGCACCGTGTCTCTCCTAATCAGCCTTCTGGACCGAAAACAGAGGCCTTCGTTACACATAGGGCCCAGCCTACAGCATGCACAGTGCACACGTCCTATTGGATTTCAGGGCAGAGTGCACTCACATGGTCTGCATGTCAGAGACCCAGCCGTGCCGCTGCAAAGAGAAGGAAATGAGGGAGAGCATGAGTGAAAGCAACCCACACAGCACAGGACAACCTGAGCCCACTCAGAAGGCAGGATGGGGGATGCCACCAGGAAGACAGGGGTAGCAGGCAAATATACCTTGGCAGGCAGGCTGGGAGGCTAAGCTGGGACCTCACTCCACAAAGCAAACACACTGGAATACGTTCAATATCGCTCAAAAATGTGAGAATAGCTTATCACCTAGGAGCTCACTGTATTGACAAGTGGAACAGATGACAGCTAGATCCCAGTTTAGATATTAAAACACAAAGCAATAATGGCACGGATCGATGCAATGCAGTTTCTGTCATCAAGAAAATGCTACCTGCATCAGCTTCAGAAACTGACAAACTTCCCCCAGACCCTTTGATCACGGCCCAAAAGAAAAGGTCTCTTGGCAAGTCCATACTAGACTTCATGCTTTTTTCTCCCCAGGCGACTCATATTCTGCAGTTCTCAGAAAAACATGACTCAAAAATGTGATCACAGGTGAAGGAGAAGAGTTAACAGAGAAAGGGAGAGAGCAGCAGAACAGGCATCTGTTTCAGAGGGCATAAGTTTATCATCCAGGACAGGATTTCCACTGGGTTTATCATTGTTTTCATTGTCTAGAATTAAGGTCATTAAAGATGATGTTTCCACTCTGAATTAGCAATGAGTTCCCACTTAATTTATAGTGCATCAGCTCTCTCGTGCAATTTGGCTCCAGGGACTTCGGTGAAAGTGCTTCTCCCATGAATTAGACGCTGACCTAACTGGCTCTTACTCCTACCTCCCATCTTTTCCCTTACCCCCGCTTCCCCTCTCCACAGTTTCTTCTGGTACCAGAAGAGCACCCCTTGCTTCCTCAGATAACCCATCAGAGATCAGAGCTTTGAAAACCACTACAGTAATAATGATAAGTAGCTCTGTTCTGCAGTTTTCTCAGCTGTTTTCATTTGTTAGACAGTTAGTACATACCCCAAAACACCCCATACCAGCCGCCTGAGGAGCTATACCTACTGGAGTACAGTTCTGTGAGGCAGCAAAGGCAGAGAGCCCTTCCAGGAGCACCGGGCTGGCACTGGACACGCCGCTAACGCCGTCGGCCCCACCACCTACCACCGCCGCAGGGGGTGACTGCGGCACCGGGCCCGTCCTCACCCTCCTCCCCAGGGCCTTCCCGCGCCTCCGCTCAGACCAAGCCGGGCTGTGAGGGCGGGACGTCCCGTTTCCATCTAACTGACGATTTACCAGTAGACCGAGCGGGCTGGGGTCACCTCAGCCAAGGCGGATAGAAGCAATACAGCGAAAAATGGCCATAAAACAAATGAATTAACCTTCAGCGAGCCCA